ATGCCTTTAAAGTTGAGCTTGTGATGAATCGTCTCCATGCAGTTCCAAGTCTGCTTGAAACGTGTGGTTCTCTGTTATAAAGATTTCTTTTCGATATGGAACATTTTGGGATCCGCTGACAGTGTGTAAGTGGTCGCGATGTTGCCATGTGTTCTTTTTCACCGCTAAATAAAGATTGCTTTTCTCTAATGAATTAAAGTTAGATGCTTATCAGTAATTCTCTGCACAATTAAATTGAAATAAATAAATAAAGTTGAGATTGTGATACTCGTACACCAGTGCAACTGTGTAATTAAAAACCCGCTTGAGACTTGGGGTTCTCTAGTATATAGATTTCTTTTCAATACAAAACAGTTTGGGAACCGCTGACAATGCAACTGATCGCAGTGTTGCCATATATTCGTTATTATCGTTAAAGTTGGGAATTTTTTTAATTTATTTAAAATTTACGTATTACAAATTAAAAATATATACAGGGTGATTCAGCCATATTGTCATTTAATTTAACCACGTATTCGAAAGACAGAAAATCGGAAAAAAATTACTCGACCTTTTAAAAAATAAACAAATTACCTCTTAACTTGCCATTGGTTTCAAAATCAAAGTGCAGTGGATTTATAAACAAAGTGCTATGGAGGGATGAGTGTTGTTTTAGATGTGCTGGCATTTTAAGGTTCACTCTTGATAAACCTTTGTAGGTCAGCGTCAGGAGCAGTGCGAAAAGATATGTAAATGATTATTTTTCAGCGTAAATATGCATTTTAAAATTAATTTAATCGCGTATTCGTAGTCTATTCATTTTTCCCCATCTTCCCTTAAAATAAATGACATTATGATTGAATCACCCTGTATATGTAGCTGAGATTAAGTTGCGTGGTATTCTATGCATCTAGGTGGTTAGAAACCCGATTGAAACTTGTGGTTCTCTATTATGTCTTTTTATTACGAAACATTTTGGTGACTGCTGAGTATGCGACCGATCGCAGTGTTGCCATATGTCCTTTTTTTATCGTTAAAGAAAGATATTTTTCATTTTGTTTCAAATTTACGTGTAAACGTATTAGAAACCAAGCAAATTTATAATAATTTACTGTCTAGTCGAAGTGGATTGCTATAAAACGGGAAGCGAGTCGGCTTAACGACGCTAAAGCAACTTTTATCCGGTAATTCCTCGGTTAATTTTGTGATTTAATGACGGCCGGACACCCATCAGTAATTTTTCTGCGCAATTAAATTGGGGGCACGTCCTCCGGTTACGACGCCTTTAAAGTTGAGCCCGTGATGAATCGTACACCGTGCATCTAAGTAGTTCCCTGGCCCGCTCAAGTCTCGGGTTCTCCGTAACAGTGGGATCTAAACACAGTTTCATATTTCGCATAATAACCGTGGAGAGTTCGTAAACATTTTGACGTATAACGAACTACTGAATTTACAAAGGACGCCGGGTAAAAATAGACGGGAAGATACCTTTGAGGGTTGCCGGTTGCTGCTTCAGTGATATTTAAGAGGCCCCGGGACGTGTTCACATGAATTATGTAGTAAGATGTGATAGACTTTTAGTTGATTTGACAAACCGCATATATCTCCCCGCTTGTTTTTTTTTTCTCAAATAATTATTCTAAAAGGCCAGGTTATCCGCCTAATAAATCATCGAATTACCGACGCCGCCGCAATATTTTCGATAAAAAAATAACTCGATATCTCCTCAAGATATACGGCTCTGTGTTTTGTGCCACTTAGTAGATGCCCAGAGCGTTAAATTACTGAAACTTGAGTATGACGTGTGTTTATGCGAGAAATGTTTGATAATGCGAACTTTTTTTGGTACCTTCGGTCCCAAGTAGTTCGGATTATCGAGTTTTTAACTATTCTTTTATAATTATTGTAATTTAGAGGACATTTGTTTACGAATAAGGACTTTTTCCGTAGACGAATGGCCACAATTGTGAATTCCGCATCGTGCAAAGCCATGCAGTTTTATTTCCGTTGATTACGAAAGTTGCACTTCGATGAAGTTAAAAGCCTGTATCGCTCATTTTAATCTCTCTTTGTATTTCTGCGATAGAAGGTTGCAAAACTATCGGTGGATAATTGCGACACGGCAACAACTATTGACCCATTTTTATGTAGTATGTAATTCGGGGGCGATTCCAGGGGTTCTCAATAAGTTTTATCGATTTTGATTATTACCACGTGTGTTATATGTATATTAAGTAATGTTTCTTGAAATACACTGGTTTCGTTAAGTTTGGATGAACCTTGAATGGACGGGTGTATTATTAGTTTCGGAATTTTCCCTCGGTTGGCTGAAGCCCCCCCTTGAAGTCTGCTCTGCGGTTCGATTAGCTAAATAACTTTAATGAATACGAACTGATTAATGAGCCTTCCAGTCGGAGATATTAGCGAACTGAATTATCTTCTGCCAGAAAATTTGCAAATGAAAGAATTTCAAATCTAAATGTCTACAATGAGAATATATCCTAGGTGGTGAATATTTATGTTGGCGCTTGTTTTCATTACATAACCGTGTTTCGAATTCGTCATTATAAGTTATACTAACCGCAAGGAACGTATGCCAATATTTTTCACTTTTCACCTATTTTCCCGCGTAAGAACAAACAAGTCCATCATGTCACTTCTTGTGACCCCCCCCCCCCCGAGATTTTCCTTTCCACATGGCAACTTAGAAATTGAATTTATGTTAATGTGGGTTCTTTTCGTATTTTGGAAGCGCTTATCCGTGAACTAATATAACAAAAGGGCATAGTTGAACAACGTTTAAGGTTAATGCTGTCTATTTTCTCAAAGCGTGTCTTTCACATACTTCGTTAGTGCCTACTCATTATATGTGCTCCACTATGTAACTCTAATTGCTCTACCAGCATGGCTTAGAATTTGCGATAATAAGCATATCCCACTTAGTTTTTGACGAAAAGCTGATATAATAGAAATAGAACTTATCAGGGTGTTGGCGACAGCTCTGTTTTAGTTATCTGCGCTTACCAGAAAATTTAGACATAAATCTTTTATTTTTTTTTTGTAACATTACATTATTAACTACATTATTAAATTACAAGGAAAATTGCATGAAACATAATTTTAACTAATATTTTTCTATAGTTTCGAATAATTTTATATATTTTATGTGCATGAGGTACTATATTTTTCGAAAAAAACATGTAAAATTACATTTATACTATTAAATTACAGAAAAAATTACATTAAGCATGTAATTTTACACTTTTATTATTCAATGTAAATACGCACTTCAGTATGTATATTCTACATCAACTATAGTAAAAACAATTATGTATTATTAAATGTCTGGAATGAAACTACGAAAGCAATTGAATTATTATTTCAGTTCAGTGTGTTCTCAAATTTCTGTTCGTTCGTTTTAAAAGAATTTATGAAAAGGTAAACACTACAGTAACCTGTACATCTACAATTAAACTTAGTGTTAAATTACAAGGAAAATTACATTAAGCATGTAATTTTACACTTTTCTTTATCCAGTGTAAATTTGCTTGAAAACATACATGTTTTAGGTTACAATCTAAATGGTTTAGCCAAAACGATTCACTGCAAATTTACAGTTAATTGTAATATTGAATGTCTGCTATGAAATTACAAAAGCAATTGAATTATTATTTCAGTTCAGTGTGTTCTCAAATTTCTGTTCGTTCTGTTTCTGTTATGAAAAGGTAAACCCGACAGTAACTTGTACATCTGCTATTAAACTTAGTATTAAATTACAAGGAAAATTACATTAAGCATGTAATTTTACACTTTTTTGTTATTCAACGTTAATTTGCTTGAAAACATGTAATCCAAATGAATTAGCCAAAACTATACACTGTAAATTCACACATACGTATGTATATTTACATCAGTTCTAGTAAAAACAAATGTATAGTATTAAATGTCCCACTGTGAAATTACAAAAGCTATAAGATTATTGTTTCAGATCAGTGCGTTCGTTAGTTGTAAAAGCATTTATGAAAAAGTAAAAACAGCAGTAACTTGTACATATTACAAGAAAAATTACATTAAGCATGTAATTTTACACTTTTTTGTTATTCAACGTTAATTTGCTTGAAAACATGTAATCCAAATGAATTAGCCAAAACTATACACTGTAAATTCACACATACGTATGTAATTTGACAATTTTTATTATTCAATGTAAATTTGCTTGAAAACATGTAATCTAAATAATTTAGCGGCTAAATCATTAAGATTACATGTTTTCAAGCAAATTTACATTGAATAATAAAAAGTGTAAAATTACATGCTTATTGTAATTTACTGTAAATTGTAAATGTAAAAATCAGCAGTAATAAAACCAAATATACAAATGTATTTGCAATGAAATTACAAAAGCAATTGGATTATTGTTTCAGTTGGGCGTGTTCTGAAACTGTTCGTTACTTAAAAGCATTTATGAAAAAGTAAACACGGCAGTTACTTGTACATCTGCTGCTGGTGCTTTACGCCGCTACTTAAATCTATCTCTATTTTTATCGTTACTGCAACGAAATCCGGCGAAGTTTCCGTTGCCTATATTTTTGGTTAACGATTTCTGTAAGTGGTTCTCAACTCTTAAAATGTACTAAGAAGTTTGTGCAATATGTGTCTGGATCTAGATTGGTACATATAACTTTATAGTTGAAAAACGGCCGGTCGCTTTGACACGCTGGAAATAGCCGAGTCTCTAGTTTAGGTACACTGAGAGACGTGGCTTAGCACCAGTTTAGTTGTTAGGATAATAACTATTTCCTATCGCTAGTATGACCTCATCATTAGGGCTGTCAGAACTGAGCCGCGGGTCATAGGCGTTCAAAACTCGCCCTAAGGCAACAGTATACTAACGTGACGTGAACGTGAAAAGCATTCTGAGGCAGCGGCTCGCGCTTGGCGCGCCATTGAATTGCGGCTTTCTCTGACGGCCCACCTCACTGTAAATGATGATTGGTGTATAAAGGAGTGTTTCGACTTACTTAAAGAAATAAGTGTTGTTGACGAATCCAAAGAACGGGACCGTGTATGTGAGCATCCAAATATTCCCTCCGCCGCAGTCGTAGTAGGGCTTGGACCATTTTCCATCCTCGTAGCGTACCGACAATATTTTTTCTGGAACTCTTTTGTCGTGCGCGGTGTTATTGTATTTGTAGGATTTGTATCCTGGAAAAAAATACATTGTGTTATTCCTTATTGAATATGAATAAAACCAGATTCGCTGGTCTTTGGCATATTAAAATGTAGGGGGAATCGAATTAAAGCCGTTTTCGCTTGTCCACATAACATTTACGAAGCGTATTATTAAATTCTAGACTTACGGTTTTCGTGCAGCGACATTATGGGATTAATTGGATCAAGTTACATATTAAAAACTTTTGTGTAATTAGGGAGTGTTGGGATTATATTTGTTATGATTAAAACAGGCTAATAAAAATGGAAAGTGAGGTGAAATTTTTCTAAATTTGTCAGAGCCAGAAAAACAACGGACATTTGATACTTGATATTTAAGTCATATAATCTCCGATTTTATTGGGACATTTATCAAATTCCCCGAAGGAAACTTGCTAATATTGACCCGAAAACATCCGGAGTATCTCTTTTTGTTTGAAGTGTATCGAGACCTATTTTACTTTACCTTTCAACTCCTCAAGTTTTATGCGTTCGGAAGTTTGTCAAAATGAATTAAAATTCCTACCGGTTCAGAAATTCGGATTCGGTCTGCTAAAGAAAGTAATTTTGTGACTGTAAAAATTCATTTTTCAGTTGGTCGAAGAAGTTAGTTTTGTTTTACTTTCAATCTAAGGAAAACAGTGCGACGTGCGAACTTGCTCCTTTGACTTAAAGTCAAGTTTGTTAATGCCAAGGTACAAAGTCAGTTTAATAATGCTGGGAATAGAATATATCCCTAAATATCGCATGGTTCAACCTTTGACATTAAATTGGTAATGAAATTTTATTATCCTCTCAAAGCAAGTTATCTTGAAACAACGATTTTCTTATTACATTTCGATTAAGTACGCAGAGAGTAACCGTACGCACTCGGGGTGTTTTGTGATCTCATTTGCAAAGATGGCGCTTGCTCCTCTCTAAAACAACAATAGTAATTAAATCAGCCGGAATTATGGCTAGCAAGCCATAAGGCCGCTGCACGGAATTTAGGAATTCAATTTGAATTGTTATGGCATTTGTCACGCGTAAGAACATTTTAATCTTGAGACATCTAATAGGCCTACCTCTCGGGGGCAAAGTTTCTCGACGCCGGCAAAATACTTACCGAGAGAGTACTGCATTGTTGTTACTGCAAGAATTCGCAAACAAAACCACACCCGTAAGCATCTGCAGTTGCCAACTGTGTGCACTAAACAAACCCCATTAAAATATGGAACAAAACGAAATAAAACATACCATTTGAAATGTTGAAAGTGGAATAATAATAATAACAATAATAACATATATTTCCTCTAGTCAATACAACAATTGAATAGGAATAGTCAAAAGAAAAGTACATAAAGACAAAACTAATTTACAACTTAAGATTAACTAACAGAAAGTCGATTAACAAAATATTCTTCCACAGAATAGAAACATTTATCAACCAAGTATTTTTTCGGAGCCTTTTTAAAGCTGTAAACAGAGGTACAAATTTTAATATCATTAGGTAATCTATTAAACATACGTATACCAAGACAGTTAGGTGAGTTAAAAGACAGATTACACCTACCAAAAGGTACACTAAAATGGCCAGACTGCCGTGTATCAATTGAATGAATCTGATTTCTGTGGACAAACAAAATTCATACAACAAAACAGAAGGCATTGTTAAAATATTGTAACAGACGAATATCCGTCTACAGGATGCCCTAGCTGACATTACCTAATTACACGTTTTTCAGCAACAAATACATTATCAGCGTGGCAAGATGGCCCCCAAAAACAGATACCATATCGCAAACGCCATTCTACCGGGCAGTAATATAGTTTCAATAATTGATCAGGACTTTTCTGATATTTCGAAATTGATATGATACCGAATTTAACTTCATTACTAATTCGTTACATTGATTATTCCAAGTTAGACACTCAACCAGGGTTAATCCTAGAAATTTTACAAGATTTGTGTTATTAATTAGTGTATTGTTAACATTAACGTCAATACTATTACAGAGCTTTTGTCTATTGTGAAATCTTACAACCTGAGTTTTATTGATATATAATAGTAATGAATTTTGACTAAGCCAGTCACTCATCCTGGATATCACTCTACCGCGAGTCTCGGATAATTTTTTATCCGATTTGTCTGAGATCACCACTGACGTATCATCGGCATAAAAAGTGAAAGACCCCGATCCTGAAAGCTCGTCTAAGTCATTAATGTATAAAAGAAACAGGACAGGGCCCAACACCGAACCCTGGGGTACCCCTGTATTGACTTTTTTATTTTCGGAAGTTACATTATCTATAGCAACATATTGAACTCGATCACGAATAAAAGTTGCCACCCATGTCTGGGGAATGCCACGAATCCCATATTTCTCCAACTTGTCAACCAAGATGTCGTGATTTACGCAGTCAAACGCCCTACTGAGATCACAAAAGATCCCAACAAGGCATTATCCAGCTTCTATAGCTCCAACAATACGATAATCCTTAAACCAGGATAATATTCCTTAGGTTTTATTATTTTTTAATATACTTTCGAATAGGTGCTCTATGTGAGAAACAATCATCCAGTTTTTTAATTCAATGTATTTTTTCTATACTTTCGAATCCAAATTTTTCGATTGTCTATATTTTTGCTATACTTTAGAATGTTCTACATGAATAATAATAATTCTGTCTGTATGATTTTTATATTTTAGCTATGCTTTCGAATATTCTTAATATTCTTATGTCCCAACTTTCTCATTGTCTGTTTGAACCGCAATCATATAAATTTTATGATTTTTTATATCTGTTGCTACACTTTTGGGTGTTCAGCGTTATACAAATTTATACCAAGTGCCATAAAAATGTGTATTTTGGAAACGACGCTTTTCGTCATATATTTTTTTGGCCTATAGTCATTAGGGGAAAGGGGTAATGAACACCCTCGTGAATTATTTTGGTGTTGGTACAAATAGAACGCTCATTAATTTACAAGGGTAGTTAATCCTACTATTCGTATATTACCTAGTCTTTTAGATAAACAATGTTTGTGATTTATTAACGAACGTAGCACTTATTTTACTAATTTTACTAATGTTTCGATTTTTGTCAAAATATTTCTATGTCCCAAATGAGTCCTATTCGCTGGCTTTCGGGTTTGTGCGGACCCTTGATTTTTTTTAAATACCTCTGAAACGGCCGCTTGCGTAAGCGTTCTAATAAAAAAGAATCGCTGTTATCGACGGCCCGAACCGATCGGCAAGGAAAACAAATGATGTAATCGAAAATACATATTTCATGATAATTATATCACAATATGGATATGATTTGGGTCCGCATCATCTTCTCGCAGGCTCCGGCAAAGGAGAAGCCAGCCGAAATCTATTTATGGAGATTGTCCGCAAATTGAAAAAATGAAAAATAGACCCTCGCCTCCTCCGGGATTTCTCTACTAAAATTGCCTGGAGGAATAACGGCGTCAATTTGTCTAAGTGCGATATACAAATACATTTCCTGTTGAAGGTATGTCGGTTGAGTAATGGGTAATAGTCCTCAATAGGAATGAGAGCGACTGCAAAATGCTACAGAGGCATCGCGTTTTCTGATATTACCTCTTTTTATGTAGTATGTAACTCGGCTACGATTCCAGAGGTCCTCAGTAAGTTTAGAGATGCTTAAATCCTCTCCAACCCTGTATATTACTGTATAATCACCAACAAATCTACGGCGAATGTCAGCAAAATGCTACAGAGGCATCGCGTTCTCTGATGTTGCCTCTTTTTATGTAGTACGTAACTCGGCTACGATTCCAGAGGTCCTCAATAAGTATAGAGATGCTTAAATCCTCTCCAACCCTGTATATTACTGTACCTATAATCACCAACAAACCACCAGCCACATACGCCTTTTGCTACAAAGTCACACCGTACCAAATCCGGGCTATAAACTGGATTACTTGGTTTACAACTTCGATATTAAGTTTATATTTAATTTTCTCGAGTGTTCAGTTCCACGAACAAAGGGAAAACGTGTGTTAACTGAAATTATTACGCAGCGTATAATTTCGCCGCGTTTCTTCTGCTCGATTACAGCTCGGTTCTTTGTGCGGTTTGCGGGGCTTCGGCGGGGGCGAATTCAAATATTTTGACATTCACCGGGAATACGCTCCGGATGAAAATTTGACATAGGGAATATTGGTATGAATACTAAACAATTTTATTGCCTTATTCCCTTCGAGAGTGACGCAAGGGGTCGATATATCTTATTAATAAATAGTGGTGGGGTTGCTGCCGGATCTTAAAAAGAAACTCGACACGTACTTTACACGGTATACATTAAAAACATAGAAAACGTTGAAATAACGTGCATATTTTTATTTCCCGATTTTCCAGTTTCCAACTTAGGCGTTTCCTTCATATCATATGCGTGCATGTGGGAAAAACGTATTATTTACACGTTTCAGTTATTTCCATCGCACAGACGTGCTCTCTAACACTTCTCCGGCCTGTTTTTTTTTTTTGTAGGGATTGTTACTGTTTATTACATTTAAGCGGGGGTGACTTTGTCGCGGGCCGTGATTAATCTAGACATCACTGAACAGAATAGGACCGGTGGTAAAATATGAAACGTCTTGTTGTGCTTAGGCGCCCAACAGAATCAACGGCGGACGTGTAAAAAATATAAATCCCGACTGTACACAGGTTTGAGCGATGCCGCTATTGTTCTAGTTTGTATCGCGCGTAAATATCGCATATTGTTAAAAAATATTTACGTGCACATTCTCATGCTAAGCAAGGTGATAAAAGAGGGCGCTTAACATTGTCGTTATTAAAGATTCGTTCTCGGAATAAAACTTTTATGTAGTTCTCTTTATGGCTCGTATACAGCTTTGTCTTGGTTTACTGGAATCACATCGTAATGTATTTCGGTTTAAAATTTACGATATCCCGAATATTCCGTAAGTGAAATACTTTGTCTCAAACAAAACCTGCGCGCGAGCAATTATTGGCGCCCAACTG